TTCAAAATTTTTTATATTGTTCTTAATGCAGCTCTGTCAAACGCAGAACTGCTTCCATGTTATGCTCTAATATTAAATTAAAATTCGTGCCACAAAGCCTGTCCCGCCCACACCACACGACGCACACACACATTTTGTATGCACGCGCAAGCACCGCATCAACTGCTCATGATGGTTTTAGAGTTTCAGAAAGACAGTATTCGAACCAGGCCATTGCGTAATAGCAGCGCGAGACATGGCACTTCTGCCGATTGAGCTAACTCGGTGACCAAACACCATAAATGAACATCATATATGAACCTGATATATGAACATTATATTCCTTTATTAACATCATATATGATGTTCATATATGATTTTTATAAAAAAAAAATTTAATTACCGGTAGATTTCATTCAAATTTTTACTTGGGTTATGTCTAGGGCAAAGTTATAAAGTAAAAATCAAGCCGCTGATGTGTTGTAGATACATCGACAAAATCTTTATATATATTTGTCTAGACACACACACACACGCGCAATTAATTAGCTAAATATTTAGTTGTTTGAAAGAGACACAAACACATAAATAAATGCGTTTTTGTAGGGATGCGAAGCTGCACGCACAAATTTATATTTATTTGTTTGGAGACGTACACACACGGATATAGGAGCGTATTTGTTTTGTGGGCTCTAATAATAATTATCAATGAGTGCAGCAAGTTTGTTTGTTCATATTGTGTATGTGATGTGCACGTTTGTTTGTTTGTTTGCTCGTGTGTATACCGCTGCTCACATTTGTTATTTCTACACTTGTATGGATGGCTGTATTTATGTCTGTTTTTATACATTTAAATAATTTTTTGTCTGGATGATTTGTTTACGGTCGTTTAGTTATCTCCGTTGTGTTATTTTGTTTCTGTTTTAATTATTTTAATTTTTTACACGCCCATCAGGCCAGTCTGTTTTGTGCGTATGTGCTTGTCCTCTTCTTTATTTACACTCTGTATGTCCGTCTTGTTTCTTGTGCATGTACTTGTATGCACGGACAGTAGGTACCGGCTCATAATAATTATAGGAGTGGTTGATAATTTCCATTCACAGTTAGACAAAGGAAAGAAAATTTTCAGTTTGTTTCATAATTATTTGAATATATCATCGTTTTTTAGTGGTTCAAAATAATTGGAACAATATGAATTTTAATGATTCAGAGCAGCAAAATATTGGCATTGTTTACACCTTAGCCATTGCCATCTGTTGCTTTGTTTAGATTAGCAACAAATGCAAAATAGTTGTGCTTAATTTTTTAAAATGCCCAATAAGTTACAAAACCAAAAAATACTCGAACGGCGATCAATAGAAAGACGGCACGTGTAATTTAATTCGAGAAATCTGTGGGAATGTGACATGAATCTAAATTACAACATTAGCATTGTCAAACAATGTCTTGAAAAGTACAAAATATTAAAAAAAATTATTCATCTATCGGAAATCTTGAACCTACGGAATAACGAACACTGGACGATCGTTGGAAGCTACAACACTGGTGTCGAAAATATAGAGATCTTTGAAGTTATAACATCGGTGTTGGTAGTTATGAGGTCAAGGGTTACAACACTATTTTCTAAATACTTAAGTTTCAGATCAATTCGTAATTACTGTCTCATACAATATAACGTTTGTATTGCTTAGCCTAGCCATTGCTATTAATTCAGAACATTTTTCTCCCAACATCTTCTTGATTATCATTTTTTCTGCCAGCGTACTTTTTAAATTTTAGAACTCATTCCTGTTGAACATTTACTATTTTTATTTGCATATTTTTGTGTTTTTCTAGCTGTCTCATCATCAATCCCCTGATAAATTTGGAAGGTAAAAATTCCCCATTGAGTAAATTTGTTGTATGATTTAGAATTTTCTATTTAATTAAAAAGATGACCAAAATAGTGCATTTGGTAACAAATAGTTTGTATTTCACTGATAGTTACAACACAAAAGTTGAAATAGTTTCAATCGGCTTTTTATAATAAAATTCTCACCAGTAACTTAAAGTGGAGGCAACTGCCTTTCCACCCCTTTCTGTAAATGCTCCTTCATTGACGTAAGGAGAGACTAGTACAATAACACGTAACATACACCACGTAGAACGTAATTTAGGAGTAGTAGTACTATGCCACATACAATACATAGAAGATAACATATGTAGTACAACGACGCATGCAATACATAGAAAGTTACAATGTAGTACAATGCCAGATAAAATACATTGAAAATTACATATGTAGCATAATTCACGTACAATATATATAAAGTAACACATGTAGTACAATGACTTAAAAGATTACATAAAATGGTACGTACATTGCATTGAAGATAATGTAACACGTACACTACCTAGAGGATAATAGATAGCTTCAAATGTTTTGTAACCTCAATCTCCGATTCATGGACAATCAATCACTTATTCATATCCGCTCGCCGTACATTTCATCCGATTGCTCTTGTCTGGCTCTATACATCCTATCGTATGATTCATTCATTCATTCATCCATCCATTCATAGTTTCATTCATTCATCCATTCATTCATTCATTCATCCATCCATTCATAGTTTCATTCATTCATCCATTCATTCATTGTTATTGTTAATGATTATATTCATTCATTCATTCATTCATTTATTCATTCATTCATTCATTCATTCATTCATCCATTCATTCATAGTTTCATTCATTCATTCATCCATCCATTCATTCATTGTTATTGTTAATGATTATATTCATTCATTCATTCATTCATTCATTTATTCATTCATTCATTCATTCATCCATTCATTCATAGTTTCATTCATTCATTCATTCATCCATCCATTCATTCATTGTTATTGTTAATGATTATATTCATTCATTCATCCATTCATAGTTTCATTCATTCATTCATTCTAACAGTCCCATATAATTTTAAATTTATTGAAACATAAATTCACTCATTGATAAGTCCGTTCGTGCAAGCATCCAGTGATTTATATCATGCATCCACTCACTTTTACTTCTACATATTTCAAAGATCTCTATATTTCCAACACCAGTGTTGCAGCTTCCAACGATCGTCAAGTTATCGTTATTCCGTAGGTTCAAGATTTCCGAAAGATGAACATAACTGCTTCAAACGTAAACTTTTTTAAACGCTAAATCATTCACTAATCCAAGTTACTACATTAATCACCACTACAACTTCGCTAGTAACTTCGCTATTCGCAACCCCTCATATAGCTTCTATAGTAGATTTTTACAATCCTCCATGGTATGAAAAGATTCTATGGTTTACAATCAATGTCAAATAACGAAGATAACAAATACAACAAGATAAAAATAATATAGCGACATTTGACCATTGCAGCGGTTGTAACAATAAGTACGTAACGTACCGCCGACTGTACAATGTGCGTAGTTGACATAACACGAATTCATGTGCACATAAAACAACAACAGACAGAGACGCAGCAGACGAACATGGTTAAAAGTTCGTGTACTTTTTTAAATTTCCGTACAAAACCAGCCAGCAAATTGATCCTTTATAAAAATTAATTAGCATTTCAACTAATGAAATTTAACGCTCAGAAATGAAATTGCATGTACGTACAACCAACGAAATATCTACAAACAAACGAACAAGCATTTAAAAACAAACACATTTTTAAACACAATGACAGTCATACGCAAACTAAAATATTGAGTTATCGTTTTGGTCGAAACTGAGATGATGGGCGAAGGTTTGGATTTGCTTACGGTCGAAATTTTGGTTTTGTTCGGACACAACATGCAAGCAGACTAATAAACGCAGGCACAGATGCAAGCGAACTGGCGGATGAACAAATTGCAGTGGAGCCTTTTGCATGATGAGCGTTATTATGTTGATATGATTCTATGTGTTTATGTAGAGTGTGTTGGTTGATATGTTGAGCATGTTGATATGTTGAAATGTCAAGTGTGTTGATATGTTGAATGTGTTGATAACTTGAGTGTGTTGAAATGTTGAGTGTGTTTTCTATGTGTGTATGTTGAGTGTGTTGATATGTTGAAATGTTGAGTATGTTGATATAATGAAATGTCAAGTGTGTTGATATGTTGAATGTGTTGATAACTTGAGTGTGTTGAAATGTTGAGTGTGTTGATATGTTGATATGTTGAGTCTGCTGATTTGATGATATGTTGAGTCTGCTGATATGATGATATGTTAAGTGTGTTGATATGTTGAGTGTGTTGAGTATATCCCTCCCTTGGTCTTCTTCTGCCTCAACGCACATCTAATAGAGGTCTAGAGGTTTCCCATATATAATTGATCACATGACGATGTACAAATGTTTTTTGTATGTATGTATGCATGTGTGTGTGTGTGTATGTATGTATGTTTAAATGTATGTACGCGTGTGTGTGTGCTGTGCATATCACATGTATGTGTGCTTGTGCGAATGTATGTACGCATGAATATATGTATATATGTGTGCGTGTTTGTGCATGTACGTGTTTCTGTTGAGCATTGCAGGATTTACGTATAAGCTGCCCAAGTTGTATTTTGCTTAGGCACCCGCTTTCTTTCTTAGGAGTCCCAAAAAATTGTCTCAATATTTTTCCTATTTAACCAAACATGAAAACATTGAAATTTTTCACCTTTCACTCAAATTTTAACGTGGCCCTTAGAAAACAAAGCGTTATTGTACGTGCCTATAATTTACAAATGTCCGGTTATGTTGGGAATATTTTAATGTTTTTGTTGTGTTTTTAACCAAAAACAAAACGTGTAAAGCATACTGTTTTATTTATCATTGGCCTAAACATTTTTACGATCCTTCACTATCACATTCTATTATGAAATGTCACCATTATCTTTACCAACGACTCTATCACTTCCACAAACAAAACCACAGTTTTCAAAATTGTTATCAAATATTTTTTAAGATCACTACGACCATCGTCATTCTCACAAACATTACCAACGAAATTCCCACTGTTACACTTTGTCATCAGTCACCATAAACGCCATCCCCACCACCAACTAGGTCTGTTTCTGGGTTACCGGAATTTTTACCACTTTCCATTTGCCGACCTGACCTCTCACACGGTATAAAAAAAATTTTGTCAGAAATTTCCATTGCTTTTGCCTCTTCTATTTTTGACCTTTCTCTGCTCTGGAGAGAGGTCATGACTGAGTCCGATGCGACCCAGGCAGGCGTCTAGCGATTTTAAATTAGAAACGTTTTTTATCACATTCTTTATGCCAACATTTTCCAGTTTCATAAACAGCGGTCGAATGTGACCATCTGATTTTTTTTCTAAGTTTTGAAAGCCAAACTAGGTAAGCATCAACAACATTGTTAGACAAGTGTTTCGGAATCTTCATGACGTCTGTGCCGTCACTGTCGCTCTCAGACAAATGACACATCATTATATTCTTTTCTCTTTCTTTGATTTGTTTAGCTTCATAAATTGTCGTCTGGACTGTTTGACCTCCGCCTTGATATCATCGACGTGACCTTTAATACAGTGACTGACAATATCGGCAAATGATACTTTCATCTCATTCTTCAAGGTACTCAGTTCACCTCGAAAAACATCAATGCCCTCAAGCTGGTTTAACTTTTCTTTATAAGTTTCGATTGTTGCGTTGATACTCTCGAACTCTGACATGATATGTGCGTTCAAATCATTCAATATGCTGGGTTTGTTAAAATTTAAAAACATTCTTTCTAAGAGAATCGACGGAGCTGATCAACTTTTTAATGTTGGGTCCCAAGCTTGAGCACCTGTCCCAAAACCGTCTTGAGTTGGTACTTGAATCCAAAAAGTTACAAACCTCCTGAAGAACAGATACACAATTTCCATGCGCAAAATTTTCACATTCAAAACAGTTCACAATTTTCCCTTGACCTTTTCTTCTGAACTCTGCAGACATTTATTATAAATCATTTATAAAAAAAACACTGCATATTTATATATATATATATATATATATATATATAATTCATTCATTCATTCATTCATTCATTCATGGATTCATTCACTAATTCATTCATTCATTCATTCATTCATTCATTCATTCGTCCATTCATCCATTTATTTATTTTACGAAAAAACGAAAAAATCAGCTGATAAACAAAAAAACACACAAACGAACGAACAAATAGGCAAACAAACAGATAGACAGACATTCAAACAAACTGACATATACAGCACATGGAGGCATCCGTAGAACGGAAATTGAGATGAGCGTGACGCGCAAATCATAAAAAGAAAAAGAATAACAATAATAAACGTTATCGCTCGTGTATTAATTATCGTCATTATTGCAGTTGTCTTTCTGTTGTTGTTGTTGTTTGATGTTCATATTGCGGCTTGTTGTTATTGCAGTTGTTATTATTGTAGTATTAGCTTGGAGTTGATGAGTGGCTGGCTCTATTTAATAAGGCCTCTTCCAACGCAAAGTATCGCGCGGAATGGTCATTTCAATTTTTGCCTTTCTTATCATTATTTCGGCTGTGTATCGTATATCCTTAAATAGTTTAGAATTTATTCAAGTAATTTTTTAATATTTGAAATAGGCAATAAATTTGCTTATAAAAACACAAAGTTTCGTTTATTAATTGAAAAAGAAATCTAACGTAAATAGGTTTAAAATATTTATCAGCATCATAGTAGTCAACCTTACGATTTAAATTTTTTTTTGTTTAATTTTTTAAATAGCCATAAATTATAAAACTTACATAAAATGTTTTAATAATAACAAAATTTGGTTTAATATAAAATAAATTACAGCTTTAATACAATCACATTAACACAAGAATTAAAACTAGCCCGAACATCAGCGCAGTATGAAGACGAACATGAAGACGAACATGAAGATGAACATGAAAACGAACAAGAGTGAACTGACTCAGAAATTGTACACCAGACTAGTATGCTCTGATATTCTAGTCTAGTGAACAGTTCATGAGATCGTTCTTCCGCTTCTTCAATCCCAAATTCTAAATGACGTCATCACGTAACTCTCGTCTCGTCAAAGATGTCCTACGTATGAAATCATTCAAGTTCACTATTCTTTCTATTTAAGTAGTTTTCAAATAATTTTACTTATATTCATAATTATTAGCCAAATTTTTCATTTTAAATTTATATTACTTTTGTAAAGGAAATTTCGCTTTAGATAATGATTTTGATACAATATGTATTTGTTTGTAGCAAATGAATACAATACTTATAAAAATTTTGGAGAATTTTGCACAATTAGTTTGCCGCAAAATAAAACTTTGAACCAAAACATTTGAGAAAAGGAACGAAAATATAAAAAGCACATGCATAAAAAATACACATACACGTGTACCGTACATACATACGCATACACAATGCATAATTAAATATACACGTACACAAAAACACATACATGCTTACGTACATAAATACAAATACATACAAATGAACATACAAACTCCAATCATCTCTCCAATTGATTGTCATGGAAACCGAACAGGAAAGTTTGTATTTATTTGTTTATTTGATTTTTAAAATACATTTTTTATTATATAAATTTTTATTCGTGGCCAGTAATTAAACTTAACTTCTTATAAATATATATAGAAATTTTAATTCTGTTTTGTTCAATTAAAACTTTATTTATAAGAAAATGGTTTTAATTTTTTAAGAAATATAATTTTTATTGAGTTTTTTATTTTATTTTGATTTTAAATAACAGTTAATTGTTAAATGTGAAAAAATATAATTTATATTATAATATAGCTTTACAATGAAATGTTAAATTAAAGTTGAATTAATTAAATTTTAACTTATCAGATATTCTGCACATTTATTAATGTAATGATAATGTATTAATACATATTTGGTGGTTTAATAATTTCAAGTTTACTAATTTAGGTTAAGTTAATTTACTAGTTTTATTTTTAAAAAATAGAAAAACCATTATTATAAAATAATTCAAAAATTTGTCAACTCTTCCCAACTTTTAGATAGCCAAAAAATTATAAGTTAATTTTTATTGACAAAATTAACATTATTCAAAGCCCTGTGATGAGTTTACCAGTTGTGAACAAATCCTGCCTGCAAAATGATGGCAAGCGAATTGACGAGAATAAGCTCAAAAATTTGCAGGTGACAACTTAGTATTTTTCAAAGCAAAGTTTAATGGCACTTTCATTTATTATTAATTATTTTATTTTTCAACTTAATAGAGCATTGATTTTAAGGCAATATAAATAACTTGGGTTCCAGATGATGAACATTTTTGTTTGTCAGATGAATGCCGAAGCAAGCAACAAACACCTCATTCAATTCAGCAGACATATGCTGTACCAAGGTGATCAACTCTTGCAAGTAAATAACTTTTATGTTGAATAGCTGGCGGCTGATAAGTGTAAATTAGACTTCGTGCACTCATTTTTTTTTCATTTTCCATAAATTTACGTCCATTTCCTCAATTTGAACAAGGTGGCTAGAATTTGGTGTCTGGTTAGTTCTCCGTTAGTGCCGATTTGTGGCGTATTTATTTTCGTCTGTGTCCCTCCCAGTACGGGGTACCGTCGGGGAGCTCCGAGAGACCAGCACTAATGAAACAAAATACGACAGTAAAAGGCTCTCTAACGGTACCGCAAATTTCAAAACTCTAGCGGCATTTAGGGGGCTAATATTTTTTGAGTTTTCCTAGATATACCTATTTGGGGGGGACTAGCACTAACGAAAATTATTACATCACAAACCAGCACAAAAAAGTACTGACGTAGCACTAACGATACTGCAAATTTAAAGGTTCTAGCTGCATTTGGGGGCTGAAGAAATGGACCTAATAAATTTAATTGACTACTAAATTGTGGTTTACATATAACGTCATCATAATAAGTAAATGAGTTAATCGTGTATTGAAGAATTTCGAAGAACAGATCAGTCAGTGGAAAAGAGAAAAGTTGCATAAGAAAAAACTGTTGTACAAGGAGTGGATGGAGAATATATACCAGCCAATACAGGGAAGTTTAGACTGGGTGATGATGACTAACCGAAGACAAGATATTGAAAATTGGAGAGACCAACTCTACGAACATTTCCTTTGCCACACCAACCGAAGGGTAATATGTGGGTTCCATCAATCAATTGATTGACCATTGATCATTTGTCCATTTATTTAACCATCACAAAATCATTCATGTCCAGTGCCGGATCTAGACAACTTTGAGGGAGGAGGCCAAAAATTTGAAAATGTTTAAATTTTCACGAGGGGGCCAAGATTTGTGGTAGTGTGGCTGACGTTTCTTTAGCTTATCACATTCAATTTAGGTCGATTTTACACAAAAAACGGTTCTTTTTTCTGAGTTTTATTAAAAAACCGATTACAACGGGGGATCACTGGCCCCCCGCACCCGCCTAAAGATCCGCCACTGTTCATGTCTATTTATTATTTAGTAATTTGTTGGTTCTAACAAAATCTGAAATGACTTTTCCTATTAGCTCTTTCTTAAAACATGAAAGTTTAAGCTTAATATAAAAATTTGTTGGAAAAATGATGTCAATGTCGATAGAAATTCATCAAATTTTATGTCATCCGAATCCCGGTACTCAAGTAAACCTTTACTTTGTAAATAAATTTGTTACATTCAGTTAACAAATAACATTAGCATGTTAGCTGTATTTTGATGAGTAAGTACTGATCTGTTGACTGGTTGATGTTGAGAAGAGGAAGGTAATGAAGGTGATATTGACGATGAACAGTTGAGTGGAGGTGACCGAGTTGATGCAGGTTTTTAAGTTGGGAAGTGTTGGGTGTTCCGAGATGACGGTACTGTTGAATATGACGCTGATGCGCTGATGATTCGCTGATAAATCCATTAATAGACACAAAATTATTAAAAAATCGAAAAGATTAATAGAAACATTTTAATGGTAAAAAGCTAGTAATTCGGTAAGTATTATTAATTATATATATATATATATATATATATATATATATATATATATATATATATATATATTTGTGTGTTGCTTCCGGAGATCTGGGTTATGCAATTTCGACTGTAAATGCTAGCATAAATTCGTAATAGATATTTTATGCGCTTCGTAATTAGAAATATGCATTATACTTGTGATGTGGACGTGTGATCATCATAAAATGAAATGAACTGATTGCGTTGTAAGGGGAATGTTTTCCTGGATGACGACGACCCAACAGTTTACCAGGCCGTCACAAACAACCCTCCCAAGTCCCTCTTACTACAAGTTTGCCTCATTCGCTATACTATCCGGTCCGATGGTTGATGATGGGATGATATTGGTTGATGATGATGATGACGTAATCGTTTAAAATGATGACGACAATGATGTAAACACCTCAATAGAAGCCTTCATTAGAATGCCGATTGAATGTGATTAACGTCAGGTTCATACAGGCCGACTGAAGGATCCGCTGAATTTTGACGAGAGGAAGCATGTTCAGGAGCAATCCCTTCTACACCAGCTGAACACTGGCCATGTACCGATCGCCCATCAGAAACACCTCATCAAGCGTCCACACGCCTGCGACAAGTCATCCAGGAAATGAAATTGAAGAAACGTCCATTGTCAATAAATTTTTGTTCTTATTTTATAATCAATTGCAATTTGTATGCATTTCTGATGACGATCTGCTATAATTAATATCGTATTTTTAGTGCAATAGAAGAGAGAACATATTATTTTTATTTGTAAATTATATTGTTACCAAATAAAGAAGTGTTTAATTCTTTTTCACAAACTCCGGCTCTGAATGAATGAAAAAATGTGACAAAAAGAAAGAAAAAATGCATAAGTGAATTTACAATTAATTTTTTGATATGGAGTTCTATACAAAAATATCATTCGAAGAACGTGCATGTACGCAATGAAACAGGTTGATTTGATTGAGGTGAACGAATGCAGAAGTGAATTGGTGGACGGCGGCGTGGTACTATCGACTGACGTTGGGAGCTTCAGGACATGCAGGATTCGAAGCACTTCATCACGGCGTCTCTGCGTGTTTGGATTGTTTAGATTAAACTGAATCCATTTGAAAAAATTGATTTAAATCTTTATTATTTGGTTACTGAATCTAACACATCGTCACACCTAATCGTACAGTTAAAAAAATGAAATAAAAAACTGAATATATCATTTGATCAACTTATGGATTCGAATAATTCAATCTCATTTATTGTAAAGAAAACCATTGTAACAATCAGTGCACTTGTTTGTTCTTCACTTGTTTGTTCTTCTCTGCTTCTTCATTGTTTATATAGCTACTGATGTACTTGTAAATGTGTCTAATAACAATGTCAATGAATTTACAACCCTCTAATTAATTTCCAAGATTAACTATTCCTAACTATTAGTCTCCATCTCGGCCTCACGGCTGTAACAATAGTAGCAAGAATAATGAATGCGTAGTAACCTGGCGAACGGAATGTAGGAGAGACCGTACCAGGTCATGGCCAGGAACTGGATGATGCAGAACAATATTGCTACCGCTGACAACTTCCACTGTGGTGTGTCACAATGATGATGTGACGAAGTCGAGTGGTGGTGGTCATGTGGTGTGGTGCTGACGATTACGATGTAATGTGACGCTTATGTGACGTGATGTAGTAGTGATGACGTAATAATAATAAGGTGTAGGGTTGGTCACATTTGTGATGCTGATGAGATTGTAACGGGCAGAGTTGGCCTTAGGAGGTCGGGGTCAGGCATTGACCCGGGGCAACTGGTAACTTGGGGCGCCAAAGGCCGTTTGCAAATTAATTACTTTTTATCATAAAAATAAGTTTATAATAAATTTAATTAAAAACTATCCTAATTTATTTTCATTATAAATCAGTTTTTTCTGTAAATTAATTTATGTTTCATACTTATAACTTTTTAAAAATAATAGGGGCATGATTTCTCAAGTGATTTAGTGAAATTCGTTGAAAGGCCAAACTTGCATGATGCATCAATTGCTAAATGTGAAACTATTGACATTAGTTCAGTCTGCTAATGATGGTGTTCATTTTTTAGTAAAGATGAAATAGGTGAAGTGAAAGATGATAAAAAAAATAAAAGCATTTCGTGTTTTATTTTTATTTAAGAATTTTATTAAGAAACATTCCTTCAAGGACCCAAATGTATTGTTTGTTCTCACAATAACTGTAACAGTTGCAAATGGGGTCCGTAGCTTTTCTGAACTAATGTTAATTAGAACAAATTTGAAAAACACCATTCTGCACGATCGAAATAATCCTTCGGCTGAATTATCAATCGAGCAAGAAATCACCGAAAATCTAAATTTTTGTTGCTTGATAAAAAACGTTGGCCAACAAAAAGCTTAGAAAAAAATGAATTTCAATATTTAAAATTTTTACCAATATTTTTATGTATTTAAATTTAATTTTCATGTAACTAAAAGATTTTTATCAGTGTAGTAAAAATTTCTGCTATAAAATTCATCTTAACAGCGGTGTTTCATCGTTCATTTACTTTTTTTCAATAAATTACAAAAATTTAATTTAATTTTTTATCTAAAATTTAGTTGAAAAATAAGCTCATTACACCAAGGGCATGTTCACAAGTTTTGCCAGACCTGTAAAAAAAGCTGAGGCCGGCCCTGTTGATTTAAATGATGACGTTTTTGCTGATGACGTAGTGACGACGATTATGATGAGTTGATATGGTAATGATGTTATTTTGATCAAGATGATAGTAAGGTCGATGACTACATTGAAGATGTTCCCGCTGTTGAAGAGGCAGATGATAAAAATTATTTAGTGAATAAGGTTGTAGGCAGACAATGTGACGACAAAGAGGCGAAAAATCGGAAAGCCAAATTAATGATGTGACAAATGGAAAAGTAGCAGATGAATGAACGAAACAGCACACCAAAGACCAACCAACCAACCCACAACGCCGCACATAACGTCAAGGCCAAGCTAATCTGAATAGTTGGAAATTTATAGGCAACAATTATTGATCGAATGGACACGAATGAACATGTTCTCACATTTGAAATAAGTTAACAATTTTGTGGCAGACGACAATATCGGAAATGCAAAAATAATGAGAATATTGGAAAACTGATGTCACTGAAGAAGTTGCAACATGATATGAAGTTTCTAATTATGTATCACTTTAGCGAAAGTATCAAATGGTAAAAAACTTCCATTTCAAATAGAAACTTCTTGTTTGTTCTATTCCATGGAAGGTTATTATCCACGCATTATGTTTTATATGAAGAGTTCATCTAATTTAAGACATGGCTTCACGATCATTGAAATTTTCAAAAATCAAAATTGAAAATATTTGAATAATATATCTCTGATGTAAGTTAGCAGGATTTTTTCAAAATGAATTGTTAAACGTTAAACACGCTCGTTAAAAAGTTACACAACAACATTGTCACCTACATTTTTATATTTGTTTTAAAAAATTACTTAAAAATCGTAAAACAACCGTGATAATTTGCACAAACTTAAAAATAAATTTCGAGTGAAAAATTTGAAATTAAAAAAAAACTAGAAACCGACAACGACGATGATGGTGGCGATGAGTCTGGTCGGTGCAAACATCCTCTTCAGCTGGTTGCATGGACCCATGAGGAAACACGTGCTGGTAACAAACAATTATACGCTACATCATCACATCATCACATCTTGTTACATTACGACACCGTTTCATCATTACAACGTCACATTACATCATCACATTTTATTACACTACAATACCATTAAATCATTGCAACATCACATTAAATAATTATATTCGGTTGCATTATAACATTAAGTTACATCATTACATCACATTACATTAAAACATTATGCTGTGATATTAAAATATTATTACACCACATTTATGTTACATTAGTGCAAATTAAGTTAATGAATTACATTACGCTAATTTATTACATCATATTACATCAAATTATGTCGCATAGCACAGTGTAACATTACTTTACACTATTGCATTGTTACATTATAATGCATTAGCAGATCAGATTATACTACGTGTTGATTATTACAATGGGTTTGGGTTGCATTGTTATGATGGTTATTAGATGCAAGATGAATATTAATTTCACGAAACTTGCAATGAACTCAGCATTTAAAAAGTATATAGGCGATTTAATCCATTCCACCTAACATTCTCAACAAATTCTTTAAAAAAATCATTCTACACTCATTCTAGCTGTTCAAAGATGGATATTTAGCGTTGAACATTATACAACATGAGACTCATTTGAAAGGAACTAAGCGCTTTAACAAGATGCTTACACTATTTTGAAATTTAATCTTGAAAGCGTACAATTTATAACACCCACCATCACAATATCGTCCATATAAATACAACACAACAAATTTGTTGCGAATTATTTAATCAATGCAGAGCTTCAGATTTAAAAAAGACTGTAACAAAATACATAACAATAGAGGCAAAAAAAACTATAAACCTGATTAATGCAGTTACATTGCCCAAGGTGTAGAGGATGGCAAACAAGGTCAGTCCAGCTCCTGGTAGGAAGAGGAAGCATGAACCCTTCAAGTTGCAAACATTTGTCGTGAGACTACGTGTTGATGTGTGTGAGTGCAACATTTGTGTGAGACCAATTAACATGTGATGGACGACAAAATACAACAATGAAAAATTTCATAAAAAATGAAATAAACTCAAAATTTAATTTGAAGCTTATAATAGTCATAATGATAACAAACATGAGATAAAATAATTAAGTTAAGCAGTCAACGTCAATGTAGAAAGTAAGCAGCAGACCAGAATGGAGCAGAGGACTCCGATGCTGAAGCAGATGATGAAACCTTTCAATCGTGTCGACCAGCTAAGCGTCGTCACATCTACAATCTGTGATGTTTCAACCACAACATTTCAACCTCAACATTTCAACCATACACCATTTCAACTTCATAACACTTCAACCATGTAACAGGTCAATTACATGAAACAAAACGAAAAACAGACGAAAAGAAATGTGAGGAAGCAGGTTGTACCTCTGGAACAATTTGATTTTCATCGTCAGCTGGCTGCCCTGTTATCGTTTTCTTGATGTTGTTGATCTTTTCCGAGATGTTCATTCTTTGTTTAAAATTTTCAACTGCATCAGTTACAGTCACATTTAAAAAATAAATAATTATATCCATAAATAAATAAAGATATAATATGGTGGAATCTTCTTTCCATCTCATGCTGCAGACAGGTTGTCTAAAAAATTCCTTCATTAAAAATTGACAGACTGCAAATGTTGAAGAAATGTAAATGTCCCTAATAAAGTGGCCAGCAAATGTTCACCCATGCCTCCTACAATAAATGTCTGGCTTCATCTCAGGTCTTAATGAAAATTTAAATTAATTCACCTAACATTTTATTTTCTTACTTACTTATTTTGGATGGCAATTGAACTTTCAATCACTGAAATTTGTTGCTTAATTGTATAAAAAATTCAATTATTATAATTAGTTAGCATCAACAGAAATTCAAACAAAATTTCCAAATTTTCGTTAAGAGTACAACAAATGGAGATAACTCAAAATGAGATTAAATCAGAAAAATGACTGATATTTTATGAGACTGGTTGTGTTGCCTAGCTTTTACTTGAACTGCAGCATTTAGTCCACCAACTGTTCAAATAGGGTTATTTTGACTGAATTTTGATAACATGCTTAACTAAATTTTGCTCAAATTAGTTTAACAAATCTAGCTCTTACATTTCAATAACAACTTAAACGATTAATTTTTTTTTAAACATCAGTCATCTATAAATCCAAATTTTTTGATTCCATTTTGGTTTGATAAAAAAGTAAATGAATTTTTTTCTTGAAAAATAAACACTGATAAGTACATCAACAGTGGCAAGTGGACTTCCAACATCAGGTTCTAAAACATCATCCAAGTATCCCACAGTGGAATTTTAACAGTTTGCGATAGTATATATAGAGTATAGAGATAGAATAAAGAATGGATGGAAAGCAGGAAAACTTGAAAAAACCTTTATTCTTTTCACTTCAAACATACACCCCAAGACAATGTTATGATAATATATGACATGATGTAGTAAATTAATTAAGTTAATTAAATTCAAACTAATGTTTGATCAAATTTGAAATAAATTTAATTTTAATGAAATTTCAATTTTTCAACTAGAAATAAAAATATTTTTGACTTGTTGATCAATCTAACTAAGAGTTATGTTCTAACAATAATATTATTAATAAATTAATATGATGTCAATTATGAATTATTATGATGCATTCAGGAATGGCGAATGAAAGGATATTTCGATTTTCTAATATGCAAATAAATGTGCATGTATAATTGTATATTTATTTGTAAATTTAAATATTTATACTATACATTGTATAAGTATAGCATAGTCATAGTGTATGTATTGTATGTATGTATTGTATAGCACCATACAATTATACATACATTATAAATTATAATGTATGTATAATTTATTTTATATTTATAATTATACAACATACATTTTGATTTTATTTTTAATTTGTATGTCATAAAAGCTGTTACCAATCTCAGCGTATTGAAAAGCAAAAAATAAAATATAGAATAATAACTACTTGAACAACTTTGTAAAAAGTTCCAATCAATCAATCAACCAATGAATGAATGAAAACTCCACACGGAACTACAACGCTTATAAATGTTTTTTAAATCGTCAATTAGTCAGACATTTTTGTTTTCATGGATAGGTAAGAAAAAGTTAATTCGATAATTATTAAATTGAAGTGCGACATTTCTTCAAAAATGATGCCAAAAAACGTCTCAATTGAATGAAATAGAATGTAAATACATGGAATAATGAAGGAACATGCAAATAATGTATCGGGAATTGAAAATTTCATAATGTTGAGTTGATGAATAAATTTTGATGGGTGAATGAAACCAATTGGAAAAAAAACCGTCTTTTGCAGGGGGGGTCCTACCCCCTACTGAATAAATAATATTCACAAGAAGTTTTTACAGGAACCTTATACTTAAAAAATTTTTTCTTCTCCATTATTTTTTACGATTTCATTTCATTTGTACTTTTTTTGGGTAGTATAAATTCAACTATCTGTATGTAGTTCAAAAAATTAAAAAATGAGATAAATGATTATTTTGAATGTTCTCTTCTATAAATTCTCAACCTTTCAAAAGTTCAAATCAATTATTTTTAATGCTTTGTAATAATAAATAATTATTTCAAGTCACAAATAATTATGCAATAAATTTATTATTATTGTTCTATTATTTCATTAATAATGCCATCAAATAATTTTTCAGTTCAAAGATTGAACTGATTGAACTTCAATCATCTGAATAAAATATTCATTCATTATTTCATAAATTTATATACCATTTCATTAAATTCAATTAAAAGTAATAATTTATGTAATAAGTAATTGAAATATGTCGCAAAGTTAAAAAGCTCTGTATTTTATTCTTCAAAATGAGAATAATTTTTATTTCAATTAATTTAGAGAGCGTTATGACCATGGATATCCATGGTTATGACGCATGCTACATTCTCTCTAACACGCAAGTCTACATGGAAAGAAATCTCGCGAAACTATCAATTTGCAACTTGGAAGGTCACGGGGTCAAAAATTAGTCACCCCTATCGAATTAAAAAGTTGAAACTTGTATTGTTCCACTGAAATGTGTTGCTTGAAGAACTGTGCTGTTCATTCAGTTTTGGCTTACTTGCCGGATTTTCATTAATAATGCAAATTGCAAATAGGAGCGCTAATTAATTAAATAGAAGATCGTTTCTTGCGTGCTAAGTTCTCTCTCTAGGCGTCAGTCGTTTGAAAATAATCCAATTGTTCTTTAAATTCATCAGTTTTAAGTTTCGACATGGATTGTAGCAGAACATTCCATTCACTTTTAATTAACGCAATGTTCTTAGTTAACTATTTCTGTCATGCTAATGCGAAGTATACCTACTTACTTAATTGTGAAGAGCCAGATGGATGTGTTGTATCGCTCGCTCACTGGCTTGAAGTAATTTCTGATGAATATTTTTTATTCCAAGTTATTACTTCTAGATTCAAAAAAGTTATTGTAAATGTGTTACAAAATCATTGTTTTCAACAGATGACTTCTAAACTCCATGATTTCAAGAAAACATTGAATTCTAATTCAATATCCTACATATTTAAAAATTAAATTATAAAATTTAAACCCAAAGTAAATGAAAAAAACTATTAGATGAACGTTTCCAGATGTTCATGAACAATTTGTATCAATTTGCAAAGCATTCATTCGGTTAGACCACAATTTTTGTAAAAAAAACTGAAAATACTATTTAATTTGATGGTTTTGAACTTGACAATTTGAAAAAATTTGAAAATTGCGACCTGGTTCACACGAAAGCCTGAAACGTGAAAAAAGTTTCAACAAAAACGTTGAATTTATATTTGAGAAAATTACTGATTTAGAAATGACATCGGATGGAATTGAAAAATAAATAAAGAGCAGTTGCAGAACGCAATTATTAATAAACATGAAGTTCCTCTCGCCTAACATTGAACCTGATCCCAGCCAAACATCGGCATACAACATCGATTGGTCTCACTTGGCATGAAAATTAATACCTCCCATCTGAGAAGCACTCAACGTAATACATACAACTGTAACACAAACATACATACAACTGTAACACAAACATACATACAACTATAACACAAACATACAACTATTACAAAAACATAAATACAACTATAACACAAACATACATATAGCACAGGTATACATGTATCGCAAACATACGTACAACACAAACAAGCATACATACAGCAAAAACGTAGCCTACATACAACACAAATGTACTTACAATCTAAACATTCATGTAACACAAACATTCATATAACACCAGCATACAAAAGTATAACACAAACATACATATGATACAAACATACATATGACACAAACATACATATGATACAAACATACATATGACACAAACATACATATGATACAAACCTACACATGACACAAACATACATATGACTCAAACATACATATGATACAAACCTACATAAGATACAAACCTACACATGACACAAACATACATATGACTCAAACATACATATAGCACATAAAAAGAAGCATAAACATAGACAACGTTAATATTACATAACATTCATATCATAAACATAGACGTTTCATACAAACAAAAACAAACATACACAAAATAAAATGCGTCGTGTGTGTGTGTTGTGTATGTATATGTGTACATGTACATGTAGTGTGCATATATTGTGTATAGTGTGTGTGTATGTATGTGATTTAATGTTTAAGGCTTTTTCAAATGTATGCAATCCATCTCTGTTTTTCTTGTTGCTTGTGAATAGCTTATGTGTTAGATAAGTGGGATTTGTGTATGTGTGTGTTGTCTGTGTGTGTTGTCTGTGTGTGTGTGTGTGTGCGTGGTGTGTGTGGTGTGTTGTTGCGTGTGTTGTATATATTATTTTCGTTGTGTGTGTTGTTAGTGTTGTATGTTGTTTGTTTGTTTTTGCAAAAATCTACAAACACGATTTTAGTACTTCGGAAAAAACTTTTTAACAAAAAACTCAATTTTTGAATATTTTAAAATGGACGAAAAATTTTAAAACTCGGTTGTAGCCAACATGAAATCGTTGAGAGCATATTTTCATGTGATGAAGTACTGATGTTGATAAATTGATCATCATCACCATCATCATCACCATCATCATCACCAATTATCATCATCATCATTGCCATCATCATCATTATCATCATCGTCATCTGTGATTGGTTGGCCTCATCACATTTACCTACATTCGATTTTTTCATAACTTCACAATTCATCTGCCATCATTTTTCAGGTGAATGCCGAGAAATAAGAAATAAAAATTACTGAAAATAACTTGAAAATATTTGTACATGACAAGTTGTGAGATTGAGCGTGTGAGTGAGTGAGAGTGAGTGAGTGAGTGAGAGTGAGTGAGTGAGTGAGAGTGAGTGAGTGAGTGAGTGAGAGTGAGTGAGTGAGTGAGTGAGTGAGTGAGTGAGTGAGTGAGTGAGTGAGTGAGTGAGTGAGTGAGTGAGTGAGTGAGTGAGTGAGTGAGTGAGTGAGTGAGTGAGTGAGTGAGTGAGTGAGTGAGTGAGTGAGTGAGTGAGTGAGTGAGTGAGTGAGTGAGTGAGTGAGTGAGTGAGTGAGTGAGTGAGTGAGTGAGTGAGTGAGTGAGTGAGTGAGTGAGTGAGTGAGTGAGTGAGTGAGTGAGTGAGTGAGTGAGTGAGTGAGTGAGTGGCATAGAGACGTACCTAAAGACACGTGTGTTGTATAAATCATGTTGGCAAGCAACAAAAGAAAGTGACGCACACACACGCACACACACACGTACTCATCAGACACGCTAACGATTGAACGAAGTTTAATGTGGGACAACTAAGTGTGA